AGTACAATAACAAGATCATATTATACACTCATTAGGGAGATGAAGTTAAAAGTTTTAAAAGAACAAATTTCAGCTTAGGTGTGAACCAGTTAGAACTTTCTAATACTGCTAATGTGAATGTAAAATGATAAAACCATTTTTGAAAACAATATAGAAATTTCTTGTATTACTGTTAAGAACCAACAGTTCTGTTCTTCAGTTTTTGCTTAAGAGGAATGAAAACACATGTTCACAATAGATTTGTACATACAAGTTGACTATCCTTTATCTGAAATTCTTGGGACCAGAGTGTTTCAGATTTTAGTTTGAAATCCACTTGATCTGCAAAGAGGATAGCTACCTCTGCTTTTTTGGGGGTTCCTGTTGCATGGAGTATTGTATTCCACCCTTTAATTTTCAGTCTGAGTTTCTTATTGAATTAAGTGTGTTTCTTGTATGCAGCATATTGTTGAATCTTGCTTCTTGACCCATTCTGCCAGTCTATTTCTTTTGATTGGTGAATTGAGACCATTAACATTGATGGTTATAACTGATACATATTGACTTATCATTGCCATGACTTTTTCTTTTTGTTGGATTCTCCCCCTTTGTGTTTAATTTCTTGTGCACCCGATGGATTCATTCTGCTGGGCTTCCTGGGGTTGTGATCCTCATTTTCTTTTCCTAGGATATTGTCTAAAATTTTTTGGATTGCTGGTTTGGTATTCATGAAATTCCTAAGGTGCTCTTTGTCATGAAAGTATCTTGAAAGATAGTTTTGCAGGTTACATCAATCTGGGTTGGAGACTGTTTTCCTTTAGAGCTTGAAATACATCACTCCCAGATCTTCTAGCCTTGAGGGTTTGCGTTGAGAAGTCTGCTGTGATTTTGATGGGCTTTCCTTTGTAGGTGATTTGTTTCTTTAACTGCTTGTAAAATTTTGTTCTTCTGTTGGGTTTCTGGAATCTTAACTATTATATGCCTATGTGTAGATTTTTTTTGATTAAGGTTAGTTGGAGTCCTATATGCCTCACTTATCTGTATGTCAAATTCT